AAATAATTTTGCTAGTTGCTAATTAACCGGTTTTTTTAAATGTCCCAACTAAAACTACTGTCACAACCCAGAAGTAACAGAAACGAGAAGTTTCATTTTTATGAAGTTTCATTTTTTATGGCTGTCTGTGTGTGTGTGTGTTCGCAATGCGAGTGCATTTTGTCACCCCCTTTCATCTCAGCAACCAGGAAAGCTGGGAGGCTGAAACTTTGGATATATGTTTTTACCCCGTGTTTCATCCTCCCGCTTTAAGATCTTTCCCCAAACACGCCTAGACCCCAAGTAGGGGACCCCCAAAGGAATATGTTGGCGAGGAACGATTTCGCGAACCAGGCAAGGCAGAAAGCTGATACTTTGCAGGGATATTCTCTATGCACGTGCGAGCTAAAGATTTTAAACTCAGCTGTCGAGCACCCCAACAACAGCTCCTCAACCTAAAAATCGTCCCTAACTCGGACCTGAATCGCAATCGTATATGTAAATGAATATGAATTTTTTGACAGATGACCGCTCGAGCAATACTTCCACTTTTTAGTGGACTGGAAATCTGCATTTTTTCAAAAAAATTGCATTTGTCATTTTTTCACAAAGCAAGCATTTACCGAAAAAGCGACCGAACTTCATGCAAAAAACCAGTAATCATGCACCTGGATGTCCGTGCGGCTCTATAATGCATCACCTTCATCTCAACTGACGCCCCTCCTCCTGCATGTTGGAAAGGATCAAAGTACGGCCAACATGACCCAAGTATTAGACTAGGGATCATTCTTGCTAGTAGCGATCTGTGAGTTTAGTGCAAAAACGCATGATCACACTGGAGAGCCTGGTGTGTTCCAGCCTGGGTTTGAGGCAATCGACAATAAACGTCTAAGGTAAACAACTGCAGCGAGAAACCCAAATAAAAGTGGATACCTTCGGTGGCGATTTTCTTAGCTTCTCTTCCAGCTCCTTCTTCATTCGCCAGGCCGCCATTCTCGCTGGCGTTATGGCTCGTTCTCTTTCAACGAATCTTGGCTCAGGTTCTAAAACAAATCAGAAGATTAGCGAGCGAATTTGATGAAACAGTTAACAGGACTGATTAATAAATAAGAAAACACCGATAACTGCTCAACAAATAAGTATAACTTTTGCTGTAAAAGCATTTAACAAGGCAATAAAACGGAATGTCATCGCCGAAAGCAAAGTGATTATCAGGCGATCAGGAGCACAGGCACAGAAAAACAGGCAATTAAGTAATTACTGTTCCTTGGCATAAGAACAAAAAAAAATTTTCCTACCAAAAAATTACCGGAAAATGTCGGTTCTTGAGCGGTATCTGGAAGATCGTGGAAAAATTCCGATTCAAATATCGGCTCATGTACCGCGTCATAGAGATCGCCGACAGTTGGTTCTTCCTTGGCGATGTTACCTATCGCACTGTCTGAAAACTCTCACTGGATAAGGCATAACCAGCAAAAAAACGTATTTTTTTTTTAAAAAAAAGAAGATAATATGAAACCATACTGTGTTGTGCGGCTTTTTGCGTCGCGGCAGTACGCTTTTTTGCACCCGAACGCACTCCTGAAATAAATATTGTTAAAAATCCTAAAATTAATCGAACTGAATATGAGAGGTGAGACCGGGCCATGGTATTTTAGGAAATATGTTTTACCTAGGGCATGTGCATATCGAATCGCGTACTCCTTCGCTCTTTCCATTGCTCCCAATTTCTGCAGCGCATCCGGGACGTCTAATACTTTTATCTGAAATCAATATGAAACAAATCAGTGGCGGACAAAGTGCTGCTCTCATGCTGGAGGCCGAGAGCTCGACTCCAACCGGTGGGATAACCAATCTTTCAACCATTCGTTCATCGGCATCAGTGATAAATTAGTACAGTGGTAGGGAAGAGTCATCACCTATAATCCAAGAAGTTTCGAAAAACAAGACAGAAACAGATATTACCATTCGGGCTACTTCCGTGTACCATCGTCTCGTACAGAGTGAATCCCTCACCAAAGAATTTTGCAATTAGCAAAGCAACATTGGAACTCCATTAGCAAAACGAAACAGAAGTATGCTTAATAATAAGCAAACTCACTAATCTGCTCCAAAACACCACAAAAAAAGAAAAAATGGCCAGCTCACTTAAGATCAGAGCCTTGAAATAATGATTTTACTATGCGACGGCAATAAGCAAAAAACATGCCTTACTGCTAACGAGACGAAATTCAGCGAGGTCCAGGGAAACTAAATTCATATCAACGCAGTGAAAACACCTGGTCGATTTTGGACGTAAGTTTGAAAAGGCATTAAAAAAAAGCATAAATTTGATGCGAGGGAGAAAAACACTTCAACTCAGTCAGTTTCTCGTGCTTGCCCCTCTTCCTTCCCAAAAAAAAGCGTAAAAACCATCCGCGTAGAGGAAAGTACCCAAAAAGAAACTGAGTAACAAAGTGCAAGTATCAGTAAATGAGCAAATAATTAAAAAATCGGTGTAAAAAAACCACGCAAAAAATGCTAGACTGTCTAAAAATTAAATGGGCCAGAAGCCAAAACACCTTCTCTCAATTCCCCTATTCTTCCCTCACAAAAAAGCGAAGGGGTTCCCATGTAGCCCATGTTTTAACAGATGCCAATAGCAATTATCCGCTGACAAAACTATCAATGGCTTCCTCTTCCGACAGTTGCTTATGAGCAAGTTTTATTGCGGTTTTGACTCATTGGCAAAATTTACGGACCCAGAAACATCAAATATGTACAACGGCTGCTCAAAAACGCCAAGTTTCGGGCAATGGTGCGTCGAAACAAAGACTAAAAAAAGAGGCGAAAACTCAGAAAGTGCTCTTCACTGCTTGGAAATTTGTGCGCCATGGATTCAAACCATTAGCAAATTAATTATTTCGCAGAGCACCGTTCGCAAAAAAACCCTGAAGTACGGTATAGGAATTCCGTTTTTCCTTCCGAATTTAACGGCACCAATCTCATTTACATAACCTTATTCGGGCAAATTCTCAATAAAACGAACCGAATTACATTACGATCATTTTAAAAAATTTGAATTCACAATGTGGATTTACTTGCCTTTTTACCACGACGATTGCAAATCGCCAAATGCCTCAGAGCCTGGACAAGAGTGCCAAATTCAGCATTACAGCCTCTTCCCCCGCATGCGAACATCGAAAGTTTCAAATGATTCTGG